TAGCAATCCAAAACAGTCCAGTGGCACCTTTAAGGCCAAGCTATATTCAGGTACAGGCTCTCCCTCCTCTGCGAGTACAGATCTGCACGTTCCCGTCCCCCCCAATAGCTAGCAATCCAAAACAGTCCAGTGGCACCTTTAAGACCGAGCTTTATTCAGGTACAAGCTCTCCCTCCTCTGCGAGGACAGATCTGCATGTTCCCCTCCCCCCCAATAGCTAGCAATCCAAAACAGTCCAGTGGCACCTTTAAGACCAAGTTTTATTCGGGTACAAGCTCTCCCTCCTCTGCGAGGGCAGATCTGCACATTCCTCTCCCCCCAATAGCTAGCAATCCAAAACAGTCCAGTGGAGCCTGAGCGGTGGGTGTTGCCTTCTGACAGATTTCCAGTGATGTCAGGGGGTGTGGCATATGCAAATAAGTTATGCTAACGAGTTATGCTAATGAGCTCCTGCACCTCTTTTTCTACGAAATGACCTCTGGATATAGCCCTTATCTCAATGCTGACCCTCGCGTGAGCTCCCTGTCCTCCATGGTGAGATCTGCCCATCTATCCCTGCTTTATGCATCCTGTCATTAGCCAATTTTTAATCCATAAAAGGCCCATCCTTTTATCCCATGATTATTCAGCTTATTCAAGAGTCTTTCATGAGGGACCCTGTCAAAAGTCTTTTGGAAGTCCAAGTACGTAATGCCTGTAGGCTCCCCCTTATGCACATGCCTGTCCCCCTGTTCAAAGACTTGCAAGAGGTTGGTGACGCAAGACTTCCCTTTGCAGCGGCGATGTTGATTTTCCATCAGCAGGCTTTGTTCCTTGACGTACTTAATCATTCTCTCTCTTTAATAACAGTTTGTAATAATTTGCCTGAAACAGATGTGAGGGTAACTGGCCTGTAATTTCCTGCTTCCCTCCTAAAGGTAAAGGTAAAGGTTCCCTTGCTCGAAAGCCAGTCGAGTCCGACTCTAGGGTTGCGGTGTTCATCTCCGTTTCAAAGCCGAAGAGTCAGCGCTGTCCGAAGACATTTCCGTGGTCATGTGGCCGGCATGACTAAACACCGAGGCGCATGGAACGCTGTTACCTTCCCACTGAAGTGGTACCTATTTCTCTACTTGCAATTTCTTGCTTTCGAACTGCTAGGTTGGCAGGAGCTGGAACTCCTAGACCTCCTTTAAAAACTGGTGTAACACTTGCTATTTTCCAGTCGTCTGGCACAGAGGCTGATTTTAGCAACAAGTCATGTCTACCGGCTAGCAGATTAACAGTCTCACACATCTGAGTTCTCTCAGAGCCCACAGATGTATGCTATCTAGACCTGGAGACTACTAATTAGATTTTAATTTGCCCTACAGCCCCACAGCTTCATCTCTTGTCACCAGTGTTCCCTCTAAGCTGAGTTTGTGTGAGCTGGCTCACAGTTTTTTAGCCTCCAGCTCACAATGTTTCTGTCTCAGCTCAGGAAGGGTGGCTCCAGAGCGAACTAATTGATGCAGCGGCCAAGTCGCTTGCTCACAATTCTAATGCCAGTAGCTCACAAAGTGGAATTTTTGCTCACAGGACTCCACAGCTTAGAGGGAGCATTGCTTGTCACCTCAACTTGATTCAGACCCGGAAAACTCTTCTTGTTGATCTTTCAGGGGCCCCCCACTCCACCCCTGAATCCAGATCCAACCGATCTGATGCAGACCAACATGGCTCCCCTCGGAACCGACCTTCCGGGAAACTCGCTGCCTTTCAGCGTAACTTTCTGCTGCTCTGCATGTGTGTGTGTTTGTGTGTGTGCCAGTGTTCCCTCTAAGCTGAGTTAGTGTGAGCTAGCTCACAGTTTTTTTAGCCTCCGGCTCACACGTTTTCGTCTTTGCTCAGGAAGGAGGGCTCCGGAGCAAATTAATCTATGCGGTAGCCAAATTGCTAGCTCACAACTTCAGTGCCAGTGGCTCACAAAGTAGAAATTTTGCTCACAAGACTCCACAGCTTAGAGGGAGCATTGGTGTGCGCATGTGCGCATGTGTGTATACACATTTCTGGCATCGAAATAGAATAAGAATTGTCTTCATTTTTCACAACCGCAGGGGAGAGAAAGAGAGCAATTTACATCAAATGTTTGTAGAAAACTGGAATGGATGGAATGAGGAAATACAACCATCCAGCCATTTCCCTTATGCTCTTTCGGGGGGTGGGGGGATGTTGAACGGCCTTCTTTGGACTGCGGCGGCTCCAGTCACATTCGAACATACCCCATAGTTAACATCAAAGTT